AGGCAAAAGAAACTACAATCAAAACAAAGAGACAACCCACCAATTGGGAGAAAATATTTGCAAATCATATATCTGACAAGGGGTTAATCTCCATAATATATAAGGAACTTACACAACTGAACAATAAGAAAGCAAACAACTTGATCAAAAAGCGAGCAGAGGAGATGAACAGGCATTTTTCCAAAGAAGATATACAGATGGCCAATAAACACATGAAAAGATGTTCAACATCACTAATCATGAGGGAAATGCAAATCAAAACTACACTAAGATATCACTTTACACCTGTTAAAATGGCTATCATCACTAAGACTAAAAATAACGAATGTTGGAGAGGGTGTGGAGAGAAGGGAACCCTCACACACTGCTGGTAGGAATGCAAACTGGTACAGCCACTATGGAAAACAGTATGGAGATTCCTCAAAAAACTAAAAATAGAAATGCCCTATGACCCAGCCATCCCAATACTGGGTATCTACCCAAACAATCTGAAATCAACAATCCAAAGTAACATACGTACCCCTATGTTTGTCGCAGCACTATTCACAATAGCCAAGACACAGAAGCAACCCAAGTGCCCATCGATCGATGACTGGATAAAGAAGATGTGGTATATATATACAATGGAATACTACTCAGCCAGAAAAAAAGACAAATTCATCCCATTTACAATAACATGGAAGGACCTATAGGGAATTATGCTAAGCAAAATAAGCCAGTCTGAGAAAGACAAACACAAGATGATTTCACTCATATGTGGAATATAAACAAGTACATGGACAAAGAAAACAGTTCAGTGGTTACCAGGGGAAGGGAGGTGGAGGGTGGGCACAGGGGGTGAAGGGGAGCACTTGTGCTGACAGTCAAGAAATAATATACAAGTGAAATCTCATATTGATGTAAACTATTATGAACTCAATAAAAAAAATTGGAAAAAAAAATAAAGAAGAAGGGCAACTGTTATGGCAGAGAAGAAATCTAAGACAGTGTTCTTCTTAGCCAAAAAACAGCTTTAGATAAAGAGTAAAATGCTGAATGCTGCAATGCTTGGATCTATGAACCAATGGACCACATGCACTATTATAGAGACAAGAGATTCATGAAAATGTTTTGGGAAGTACTCCAGTCTAAATTTATTTGAAATACTTATTATACATGCACTTAATTTTATATTTATTTAATCATTAAGGTCTAAACTGGGTACTTCATTTCCATTATGTTTTGCAACATATTATGGAAGACATTAGATGGTGGAGTATTTTTTGTAGATTTGGAGAATCTCAAAGATCTTTGGATCTTTCCACAATGTCAATGTTCTGTCTCAACTGTTGAATCATCCTCAATACCACAGAAAAGAAAACAAAGGTAGAAAGACAAGTAACTTAGATCATAAAGCAATTGTGTTTATAATCTCCTACATTAACAAATAGGCATCATTTTCTTAATTATACAAATATTTGGACTTTTTTTCACCTATACTTGGGAGATATGCTAAAATAAATATCAATTATAGTATTGAGTTATAATGATTTATAGCTGCTTTCATAGAAAACATCAATACAATGCATTAAGACACTGTTTCTACCCAAATATAAATAAATATGGATGACAGTCTTCATGTAAAAAAAAAAAAAGTACAGAACTTAAGACAACATGGTACTGGTACAAGGACACACAAATTGTTCAACAGAATAGAGAAGAGACTTCAGAAACAGACCCATCCATTTACGGACACTTAGTTTACGGAAAAGTGGCAGAGCAATGGAGAAAGTATGATCTTGTCAATCACTGCTGCTGGATCAACCGGTATCCAAAGGAAACCTGACCCCTAACTCAAACCACACACAAATCACCTCCGGGCAGCTTGTGGATCTGAACGCCAAAGGGAAAACAACACAGCTTTTAAAAGATAACTCAGAGGAATATCTTCATGACCTTGGGGAATGAAAAGTTTCTAGGACACAAAAGCACTAACCATAAGGAAAAGATTGGCAAATCAGACTATATTAAAATTAAGATCTGGGGGCCGGCCCCGTGGCCAAGTGGTTAAGTTTGCACGCTCTGCTTCTGCCGCCCAGGGTTTCGCTGGTTCAGATCCTGGGTGTGGACATGGCACTGCTCATCAGGCCATGCTGAGACGGCATCCCACATGCCACAACTAGAAGGACCCACAACTAAAAATATACAACTATGTACCGGGGGACTTTGGGGAGAAAAAGGAAAAATAAAATCTTTAAAAAATAATAATAAAATTAAAATTAAAATCTTTGGTTCATCAGATTATACCATTGAGAGAATGAAAAGATATATACCCAACAGAAATGTTTATCCATCTGTGTCAAAATACATAAACTATTGTTCATAGCTGTATTATTCCAAGAGTCAGAAAGTGGAAATGACCCAAATGTCTGTCAATAGTAGAATAAATATATTACAGTATTTCATTTAATACAATAACATACAGAAAACAAACTATAGGTACACACAATACAGATAACTCTAAAAAATATAATTTGAGTAAAAGAAGCCAAACACAACAGAATAAATTCTATAGGATTCTGAAGAACTAATTTTGGGTGCTAGAAGTCAGGATAAGGGTCCTTTAGGAAGGAGGCTGGGCATAGAGACTAGGAGTGGACATAACGAGGGTTTCTAGAGGGGTGATGATGTTCTATTTCTTTACTTGGGTGGTGGTTACATAAGCAAGCTCAGTCTGTGATAATTATTTAAGTTATACACTTACGATTTGTGCTAGTCCTATAAGAATGTTCTACAAAACTTCAGTATGTGAAACAGTGAAGTATTTGTACATGAACAGACAGAAGATCAATGGAATAGAATCGAAAAGCCAGAAATAGATCCAAATACCAATGAAAATGTAGTAAATACATGGAAAAGTGGCAACTCAAATGACTGACTTAGAGACAGGTAGCCATCCAGAAAAAGACGAACCTGGATCCACATCTCATACCATTTGCAGGATACGTCCCAAATGAATCAATGATTTAAAACTAAAAAATGAAATGCCAAAAGCACTAGAGGAAAATATGAGACAATTAGTTTATAATCTTGGAGTAGAAAAAGACTTTGCAATCAAAACTCAAAATCAAGAAGTCACAAAATAAATTATTGATAAATTTACCTAAATAACTTTTAAAAGCTGTTTAATGCAGGCAGAAAACACTCTAAGCAAAGTCAAAAGACAAATGACAAACTGGGAAAAATATTTTCATATCACATCACAGTGAAACAGTAATCCCCTTAACACATAACTAACTCCCAAAAATCATGAGTATAAATGCCAATAATCAAACAGAAAATAATTAGTAAAGGATGTGAACAGTTCAGAGAAAAATAAATACAAATTGCCCTTAAACACAGCAAAATACATTCAAACTCACATAAATTTTTTAAAAATGATAGAAATTAAAGTAAGACTTTAAGATTTTGCCATCAGTTTGGCAAAAATAAATCTAAGTTTGCCAGCAAAGTCTTGGCAAGGCTGTGGAGAAATAAGCACTCCATTGCTGGGAATGCAAAACAGCACAACTTCTGTAGAGAAAAAGTTGGCAAAACTTATTATTATGGGTTGAATTGTGTCCCTTCCCAAATTCATATATGGAAGTCCTAATCCGCAGTACCTCAGAATGTGACCTTATTTGGAGACAGGGTCTTTACAGAGGCAATCAACTTAAAATGAGGTCATTAGAGTAGGCCAATCCAATGTGACTGGTGTCCTTAGGAAAAGGAGAAATCTGGAGACAGACAGGCACATACAGGTGAGGTGCTAGGTGAAGATGAAGGCAGACATTGGGGTGATGCTTCAAGATACCAAGGAACGCCAAAGATTGCCAGCCACTCCCCAGAAGCTAGGGGAGAGGCACGGAATAGACTCATCCTCAAAGCTTGGAGAAGGAATCACTCCTGCTGACATCTTGCCCCAGACTTCCACCTCCAGAACTGCGAGACAATCCATTTCTGTTGTTTAAGCCACTCAGCTTATGGTACTTTGTTACAGCAGCCCCAGTAAACTAAATATTTATCAAAATCATAAATGCATTACCCTCTGACCCTATAATCCAATTCTGGAATTTTATCCAACAGACAGATCTGCAATCATATATATACATAGATATTCATTAAAGCATAGTTTGTAATGGCAAAGGAATTGAAACAATCTAAGTGTGGTTTCCTCTGCAGGGGAAAGGCTATGTAAACCACGGTATATCCACAGAGGAGAACAGTATGAGCTGTAAAAACACAAGAACAAGCTTTGTAACTAGGGATACAGAAAGATGAAGGATCTCTCTGCGATACTGTTAACTGAGAGAAGCAGCAGGGTGCAGAACAGAGTGCAGGGTGCGCTGGTACCTGTACACGGAGGAGGGTGAACAGGGGACCACACCCCTAACACCACCTGCACGCACATACACATCTGCTTCTCTTTGCATAAAGTAACAGATGGCAGCAGTTCCCAAACTTGTCTGCATCTTGGGATCATCTGGGGAGCTTCAAGAACTCATTCACCTGAGACTGTAATTTTCTGAGGCTGGGGTGTCACCTGGCTTTGGATGGATTAAAGGATCCCCAGGGGACTCCAGTGGCAGACCAGTTGGGAACCACTGCTGTGAGAACACAGAAGATCCTAAAGCAGTAGCCACTTGTGCAGGGGGTGGGACAGGGAGGGTGGGGACAGGGAGTGGGAGCCAGACCTTCCCTTCATACTTTTACTACAGTTTCTATTTTTGAACCATGTGAAGGTATTAATTGTTCAGAAAATATCATCAGGTAAATTAATGTTAAAAACCAGATTGTTGCTTCCACGATGTTTATTTTTATGACACGGCCTTCATCCAGATTCAGAACTGCCGTTACCATCAACGTGAAAACAAGTTTGTAATTCTATCTTGACAAAATTCAGACTTTCAAGTTTTCTCTATTTTGGCCACAAGCTCTCATCCTTAGTAAGGGCAGTTCCTGAGATGAGTTCGATGCATTACCTGTCTTTGTATACCCAGCAAGAAAGTTTATCACGTGGTGTGGGTGGTTGTCCTTCAAAGCTGGTGATTTTTTTCCAAACATAGGTTCCATCTCTTGTTCGCAAATTAACAAAATAAAGCTTTTAAAAGAGGAGAACACCATTAGCAGACAGGGCATTTGAAAAGTAAGTCCATATCTGAGGGATATATGATCCAAAAATATTACTTTTTTCTTTTTAAAAATTTTAATTGTAGAGTTAATGAAAATGAGACTATGTTTTAGAAGCAAAAATGATATATAAAACATACTGAAATAGATCATTTCCCATCATTCTCTTGCCCTGTGGATATTAACTAAATACACAGTTAACTAAGGATGCAGTTAATTCTGAAGCAGAAGGATGTGGGGGAAGAGAAGAGCAGGACTGCTCCGTTTTCACTCTCTTTAAGAATGTATGATCATAAACATAAGACTCGTGACATATATCTTCTTTTTAAAATATTTATAAACTCACGAGATGAAGTGATACATTGAATATTACATTTTGCTGCACTCCTGAATTGAAAGAAAATATTACTCGATTGCTGTATCCTTTGTCATCATATCCTCCAAAAATGTACAGCTTTCCATGAACGCAAGCTCCACAACTTCCTGACATGGAGGTGGGGAGCTCTCCTTCCATGAGGTGCATTGTCCTGCAGCAAGAATAACATGGTCCCATCACTTTCCAGAAAGGCAAATTAAAATTCCCTTTGAACTCCATGGCTACTTTCTCAATGAAAACTGTCACTGGCAGTTACAATTAAAATGTAAATGTAGCCAATACTGTAAAAACTCTAAGAAGATCCACGGTAGATTTTTCAACCTACTGGGAAAAAAATTATAAAATCTCCACGTGTCACCAGAATTGGGAATGAATTAATACAACAGAGCAAAGTCTTCAGAGACAGCCTTAGTCTTGAGAGGAATGGTAAAGGACAGAGTGGGGAGAGGAAGGGAGCAGGGGAAAGAAAGAGCCAGAGAGAAGAAAGCATTGAAGGAAAAGAAGAAAGACAGGGAATGCTGCAGTGTGTTCTCAGTGGGTCTGACGTTCCCTGTCATCTAAGAGAACATTTACAACAGACATTAAGATTGGACATTCTGCAATTTAAAATACTTACCACAACCCACTATCAATATCATAGGTCCAAATTTCATCATTAGGCAAATATACTTCATTGTCTTCAATAGACTAAAAACACAGAATACATAAAATTATGTTTATCCATACATAGTAACAATTAAATAGTTCCTCAGGATGGGAAAACTGAAATTAAAACACTGCAAACCACAAAATCATAAAGAAGCTCATACACGGTTTTTTCAATATAACGATAGGTCAAAAGAGAAGGAGAGTAAGACATTTTTTAAGAGACGATGGGCAGACGATAAAGGTTTAGAATTCAAAATAGCAAGTACATGAGTCTCAAGAAAAAGACTCAGGGCAATGAAACCTTAGAAGCAGATTCTGAGGAAGGGAAGAGAGCAAAATAATAACACTCCGAGCAGAATACTGAAGACTATAAAGCCAGGAAGAAAAGGAATATCAAAAAAGGACAGTATGTTTTGGGTGAAGGGAAGGAATTTAGGAAGGACATTTTTATAAGGTATAATGAGGAGACTGTGTCAGAGACTTTGATTCATGGAACATAGTTTTTGAGTGCCTACTATGCGCAGGGCATAGTGTTAGGCATGCATTAAATACAGAAGCTAAGGATCAAGATAAATTTAACTAGTCAAAATGACAACTCTGAATCTGAATAATCTCTAAAGTTGATATAAACAGAACAGTACATTCTGACATTTATGATGAAAAGAGAAATAAGAATAGAATAATAATCTTACTTATATTAAGTTAAAACACTTAGGAGTTAAAAACAATCCTCACATAAATCTATCATAAACTGTTAGAATCTATAAAATAATTAAAAAATAGCTCGTTTTTAAAAGATAGCAGTTTAAGAATTTCTAAGACTGTATGATGTACAAAGTATTCACGGCTAAGTAGATTTACCTAATTTTCTCATTGCTATGTTAAATTTAAACAGTACCTTGACTAATAGGTACTCTCTCTCTCACACACACACATAAAGCAGAAATCCATTTTATTAATTTGAGGAAACTTCCACTTGTGTTTGACTGAGATGGCTAAATTAAGAATACCTGTAAGAAGAGGAGTTAATTGTACAATTACACAGTTTAACGGCACCAGGCTCCAGTAGCCTCGTGTGTACCTGTTTACAACAGAAATATTATGATGATATAATGATATAATAGATAAAATGGACCTGTCACAATTCTGCCTAAGCCCCCGCCGTGCTGCCTGGCTGCTCTCAGAACAGTCTAGAGTCCCTAGAGAGCGCGCTCTGGCACCCGCTGTCCCTCTGCAGTTCATCTGGCCTCTCGCTCACGCTCTAGTCTTCTCTCAGTTCCTAAACCTTGGCGAGGTCCTTGCTGCAACAGGGCCTGCACTGATGCTCCTCTCTCCTGGAAGGCTCTCCTGGAATGTGCCTGGCCAAATACTCCTTCTTTGTGAACTGGTTTAAATGTTGCTTCTCTAACCTCCCAGAATGAGGGTAAAGGATAACAGTCCCTATTAAATGCTCTCATACAGTCCCATACCTCTCTTCAAAGTCCTCTATCTGTACCCCACCCACCCACCACCACCACTAACCTATAAGCTTCATGACAGCATGTTTATCCTGTTATAATTCTGTTCCCAGAGCCGAGCACAGTGCACAGCGCATAAAAGGCAAATGGAATATTTGTTGATTGAGTGAGCGAGTGGGTGGGTAAGTGAATACCTGCTAAACCGACTGTGTGCTCGCCTCAGCCTGAGTTAAACACAAGCCCCTTTCACTAATCTTTAAAAGGGGCGGTGCAAAACCACAAATGTAGCACAGAAGTGAAAAACTTGGACCTCGTTCCTTCCCACTTTCTCAAGAGATTCCACTCCTAAATTATCCCTCCTTTTCTACATCATCAACTTTTCCTTCTTTACTAGATCATTCCTATCAATATCCAAATATGCCTGAACATCACTCATCTTTTTTTAAAAAAAACAACTCTCGGGGTTGGCCCAGTGGCGCAGCGATTAAGTTCGCACGTTCAGCTTCTCAGTGGCCCAGGGTCCACTGGTTTGGATCCCAGGTGCGGACATGGCACTGCTTGGTAAAAGCCATGCTGTGGTAGGCATCCCTCATATAAAGTAGAGGAAGATGGGCACAGATGTTAGCTCAGAGCCAGTCTTCCTCAGCAAAAAGAGGAGGATTGGCAGTAGTTAGCTCAGGGCTAATCTTCTTCAAACAACAAAACAAAACAAAACAAACTCTCCCCTGACTCCTTATCCTATCTCTCTGCTGGCTTCACAACAAAACTCCCACACCGAGCTAACTACAGCAGGGCCCCCATGGCTTCACCTCTCATTCCCTCATCAATCCAGATTAATCTGGCTTCTGAGCTCATCATCCCACTAAAACTGCTCGTTTCAAGGTCACCCTAAAAACGGAATCAGTTAACTGATTTCTCCAGAAATATGGCCCAGAGAGATAGAATATACAAAAAAGAAGTTAAGAGACATGGAGAAACAGATGTAAGAACTAAGTCAAATCAGAATTACAGTAGGACATCATATTATTACAAAATAGAGAAAATAAGGAAGAGGCAATATTTGAAAAGACAAAGGTGAAGAGTTGTACAAAACTGTTGAAAGTTATCAATCCTTGAGATCTCAGAAGACCTAAATAGCTCCAAGCAGGATAAAGACATAGAAATCCATACCTGGAGACATCATAGCAAAATGACAGAACATCAAAGAAAAAGATATATTCTTAAAATCTGCCAGAGAAAAGACAAATCATCTTCAAATGAATGGCAACTAATGACTGAATTCTCATTAGCAACAATACAAGATTAAGTAATATTAACCAATGTGTTTAATAAAGTAACTGTCAACCTAGAATTGTATACATAGTGAAAATATATTTTAAGAATCCAGGTGAAATAAAGAAATTTTCAGACAAACAAAAACTAAGACAGTTGGCCAAGAATAGACCCTCCTTTAAAGAAATTCCAATAGCTGTGCTACTTTAGGCAAAAGAAAAATGATCTGAAATGCAACAAGGAATATGATAAAATATTGGTAAATGTGTGGGTAAATTTAAACATAAAAAAACAGCTAAACTTTTCTTGATGCCTAATTTGAGGGGGAAACAGGAAAGAACCAGGGAAATGGGTGATCAGACTTAACTTTCTCAAGTTCTTGAACTTGAAGGGAAGAAGGAAGATTATTAACCTTGAACTTTGTGAAGTATTTGCATTTAAATAAAGAGAGTATCTAAAAGATGGCTAGAAATAAATCATATACTTCTATACAAGCAAAGAGAAAAAAATGGAAAGAGAACAATCCTCATAATAAGAAAGTTAAAGAAGGAGGAGGAGGGGGAGGAGAAAGAGAGTGGGGCACATATAAAGCACATCTGATGAAAAAATTATGTCAGAAATACATTAAGTGAAAATAGACTGAACTCTCCAGATAAAATACATATGTGCTAGACTGCATAAAAATAAGATGCAGCTATTTTGATGTTATAAGACATACATCTAAAACATAAAGATATACAGGGGCCATCCCCATGGCTGAGTGGTTAAGTTCATATGCTCCACTTAGGTGGCCCAGGGTTTCTCTCGTTCAGATCCCGGGTGCGGACATACCATGCTGAGGCGGCATCCCACATAGCAGAGCCAGAAGGACCTACAACTAAAATATACAACTATGTACTGGGGGGGCTCTGGGGAGAAGAAGAAGAAAAAAAAGAAAGAAAGAAGACTGGCAACAGATGTTAGCTCAGGTGCCAATCTTAAAAAAAATAAAAAATAAAATAAAATAAAATATAAAGATATACAAAGTTTCCATCAGAAGGGAGAAAAAGATACACCGTGCTGGTATAGCTGCATTAATATTTGCAAAATAAATTTTAAGGCAAATAACATTACTACTGTTGATAAAGAGGATCATTACTAATTAACAAAATGTTAGATCAACCAAAAGATATAACAATTCTAAATTCATATACACCCAAAAGTTAGCCTAAACAAGCATATAAAGTAAAAACTGACAGGACCACAGGGAAAAACTAACAAATCTACAGTCAGAGCAGGGGTTTTTAATACCTGTTACAGTAACTGACAGAACAGGACATAAAATAATCATTAAGGATATAGGAGATTCAAAAGTACAACTAGCAAGGTTGACAAAATGGACATACATAAAACACTTCACCCAATAATTAGAACATGTATTCTTTATAAGAACAAATGGTATATTTCTGAACATTGATCACACACTAGTCTTTAAAGCACACTTTGACATATTCCAAAGGACTGATATCAGATGGATATAGCCACATTCTCTAAGCACAACACAAGTTAGAAATTAATAACAGAAAGTTCACTATAAAAATGCCATATGTTTAGAAATTTAAAATATCTTCCTAAACAACTTATGGGTCAAATAAGAAATAACAATGGAAAGTAGAAAATATTAGAACTGTAAAATGACAAAATACTGCTTATCAAAACTTTAGGAATACAGCCAAAGAGATACTTTAGAAGAGAATTTATAGCCTTACATATCTACATTGAAGAATTAAAAAGTCTCAGAAAGAATGAGTTGAACATCCAACTTTAGAAGTTCAAGAAATAACAGCATAATAAACCCATAGAAAGTAGGATAGAATAAAAAGCAGATATTGATGAAATTTAAAAAAACAAACAAACAGAGGATTAAGCAAAGCAAAAGCTGGTGTTTCAGAAGGCTGATAGACCTCCAGGAAGATTATTCAATCTGGTGGGGAAAGGAAGGACCATTAAGCAATTGTAGGAATGAAAAAGGGGACGTAGCTGTGGGTACTGCAGAGATTAAACCAAGAGTGTTATGAACAACTTAAGTGCATGCCAACAAATTTTAAAACCTAAATGAAATGGACACACTCTGGGGGGTGGAGGTGGGGGTGAGGGAACTTTATCAAGCCTGATTCAAGAAAAAACAGAAAATGTGAACAATCCTATAGCTTTAAATGGACTGAATCAGAGATTTAAAACCTCTCCACAAAGTAGGTACCAGGCCTAAGTGACTTTACAGATTAGAAGTTACCAGGGACTGGAGGAAGAGGGCGGGGGAGTGATCGCATA